AACTCACGTAAACCGCGTTATAAGTATTCCGCTCGTGTGTCCTAACCCTAGCATCTCTAGCAATCTATAGGGAGTGTGTGACGTCCCTTCTTGTCGAAAAGGACAAGAAATTTTTGATAAATCGCGCGTACGCTAAACTAACTTTCGGAATTTATTAAGGGGCTGATTTAAAAGAGAGAGAGAGAGAGAGAGAGAGAGGAAAAAAAAGGGATTTGATAGATTGATGTTTCAGCTGTTCTACGAAGTATGAAGTTATTTGCTCGATATATCAGATTTACAGAAATTACTCGAATTAGAGAACTTAGCCTCAATGTTGTGTTTGCGTGAGTTCGATCAGTTGGTTTGAAATTGCTTTGATTCGTGTAACTTGAATCAAGCAATTCAAATGTAAATTAATACTTTTAGTAATAGTATTTTTAACCGTACTTCGCAGAATTAAATAATTTAAGGGATGAATCTGCTTGATAAACACGTGATTATATTATCATGCAGTGTCAAATATTTTTTATTATACACACAAACACAATTTATTATACAAAAGGCCTATCCTCATCTTCCATGCAATGAATGTTGGAAAATTAATTAAATGAAGATACTTCCTAAACTAGTAATTTTTTGACACGCGAAGAACGTCGACCTGTGTTTAAAATATAAATATAAAATATAATATATACATATATATATGATCCCGTTCGAGAAAAAAAAGTGAACCCTGAAATTTCCGAGACTCTGCCAGCTACGAAAAAAATTACTACTGAACAACTTTCGTTAACAAAATTATTATCACAGTAAATTTTATTTGGTAAATAAAATTATTATTACTGTAAAATTTATTATTACTGTCAGAACTACTACTCCATATTGGACGATTTCTGTTGATGACAGTTTTCCCGTAACTTCAAAAAATGATTCTTATCGAATCATTCTGCATAAATGTACATAAATGTTCTTCTACAATGAATGATCACTGTGATCCACCGTGTACATCGTTAACTAGAATTTTCTAGCCGCATTCTTCTTTCCACGGAGGAGGGAGAGGGGGAGAGGGCGCGTTTCATCCCCTAAACGCGAAACATTCAAAGCGCACGCGTTCACGTGGCCTCGCGTTGACTGGTAATTAACACGGTCAAAGCGAGGCGAGGCGAATTATCATAGGCGAAATGAAAATCAAGGCCAGGAATAATCGTGCCGCGGTAGATAATTCCCATTATACACCAATTAACTCATCGACTTCTATTAACGGTAGCTTGTCTCGTTGCGGCAAACGTCCAACGAAAAACACGAGTATCGGCCGTTCGAACAAGAATCGTCGTCGTTTCAAGAGTGATGAATTAGAATTCCGCTTGGTTAACTTTCAAAGAAATGAATCCATTGCAGATTGAAGTGTATATATATTACAAGTTTTATAATTTATTGATTTATAAATTTTATAATTATATATCTTCAATATTTAAATTGTTTCGAAGAATTCATATATATCGTGTAACTCTCTCTTCTATTAAAAAGAATATGATATATACTTAAATTTTAAAATATATATGTTACATTTCACTATATTATATCTACAATTTTAAATTACTTTATATTATAGTATATATTATATATATTCAATAATTTATATAATTTTAATTTAAAATATATTTTTGGAAGTTTAAGTACGTAATATATTTTTAACTTCGCGCTTTCACAACTCTGCATTTTTAAGAGATCTTAAAAATGCATAAAAATCCGTGCTTTGTCGACAACAGAAGAGGTAGAGTATAGAACGATGAAAATGCACAAACTCCTTTATTTTTGCACAAACAATAATTTCGAAACGGAGATTCGAATTTTAAAAGACCTTACGTTGAGTGGTTATTTCGAACACCGGTTAATTTAATCTTTCACCAGAATCTAATTATTTTTCACGTAGAATAGCATTTAGTACGTCTCGTGTGGCATTGCAAGTTAAGAATTAACAGTTTAGGTTAGGTTAGGTTTAGATTAGCTTAGGTTAGGTTTAAGTTTAGGTTAGGTTAGGTTTAGGTTAGGTTAGATTTAGGTTAGGTGTAAATGTCACAATAGTATGAATGTAGTTATAACCTGCGCAAAATATAGTGTTGCCACCCCAATTAACGAGGCTATGAATTTAATAAATAAAAACCAACAAATGACTACATAAGTAACCTGGAACTTTCCGAACGCACCGTGTACGTCTCGTCTGCGGGATCGATTGTTCAACGATCCGATCGCGTCTCATCCGAGACGAGAGGCTCGTCCACCTGGTCACCCTCTCGCGCCTTGCATCGCGAAAATTGCGTCGTCGGCGCGACACCGAGCTGATCGCAGATCGGTTTCTTCTTCTGCAGATCGGACTGCATCTGGAAACCGATCGAACGACAGCCGGAAGAACGTCTTCGCGTTTCCACTTTCGTCCGGCCGGCAATATTTCCCGACGATAACCGATCGACCCCTGCCTGTCCCTGATATACGATCGACGCCCGCTTTTCTCATCGCGCGCACGTCGCCTCGTAAAGAGCACGGCCGCGAGTATCGGTGAAAGATAAAGTGAGGACCAGGAATCGTTCCCTATTTCCACGATGTGATGTACGGAGGAATGTGTGCGCGAGTGTAAGCAGTGCAAGGAATGGTTTGGTTTCAGTTCGAGAGATACAGGGCCCCGATGGTTGAGATATACGCGAAACTATTCGAACGTTTATCGTGAGAAACTTTTCTAATACGTATGCGCTGCAGTTGGAATGATTTCGAACGAATATTTGCCTAAAATAATTATTACTAAATATTAATATTGTGTTGTTAATCATTAAGTATAATACATTATTAAATGTTAGCAATACGTTTATTAATATTTAATACTAATAATGTCTTATATATTTTGATAAAATATTTACCACGATCTTGTCGTCTTGTATAGATTATTTATATAATATGTACAATAATCTTCTTAATTTTCTTTAGGCAAATATTCAATTCGAATAGTAATATAACATACTTAATACGTGTTTTTAAATGATTATGTGTATGAATGAACCATTGTTCGAAGAAAGTTCGAGCAAGAAATTCACTAAATATCGAGATTTACAATTGATCGATTAAATGATTAAATGAGTAAGATAGCTCTCCTTGTAATTTAATCCTTGGCAAAGTTTCTCTTAACTCTGCGAAATATAGATATGCTTCGCTAAATATCTTGTAATTTCTATACAATTGCCGTATCTACGTAATTCCACGTAATTATGAACCTCACCGCAAGTTGTATTTGATCTATAGTCCAAATTGCGAGAGTAATTTCAAACAGGAAGTCACTACGCTCCGGCTCGAATCCACGCGCGTGCTCGAATTTGCACATTGATTTACGACACATCGAAATTTCCAGCCTACGAGGAAAGAAAAAAAAAAAAGGAGCACATTTTCAAATCCTCAAACGTGCACGCGAGAAAGAGAGAGAGAGAGAGAGAGGAAGAAAAAAAAGAAAAAAAGCTACTCCACGAACCGGAGGACTATCCCGGTGTATCCCTGTGTTTCAAACGATAATTAAGTGGCTGGAAACGTTGAAATTTATTTCGAAGTGATTTCTGCGGAAGGCAAACGAGCGTGATCATTAACCGATGCAAACACTTCCCCGTCGTCTGCAGGAACGACGAGCAATGCAGTGGTCCGCGGTAGATACAGTTTAAAGCGGCAGCCACGAGGAGGGTGATCGATCATGAAAAGAACCAATCCCATGGAAACGAGAGAGCGAAACCAGGGGGAGCAGGGACGAAGGGGAGAGAGGGACCACGAACGTTTGTGCCGCTTCGAACGTAATTTCGATCTATATACCGTAACAACGTATATAATGTAATCAACGGAGAAATCGAGTTCCTTTAAAGTCGGCAAACCGCGATGCATCGACCACGCCGCGCTGCCTTCCGCCATTGTCCGCGACGGAGAAGTTTGTTTCGAATGTCGGGGATGTTTTTTCGAAAATTCAAAGTTCTAAATCAATATCGGCAAGCTTTCGTAATCTTGGGAAAAAAGTCACGAGTTCTAAACAATTACAAAGTTGCTCGCGAAAGTGTGTTCGAACGCTCGTAGGAATTTTATTACGTTTATTTATTACGCGTTGGACAACATCGAAATTTTTATTAGAACTGCAAGGGGTTCTAATTATATTGATCAAGTCTGAAAAAATGTTGTCGAAGTTTGTTTTGATATTGAAGAATTTGAAAAAATTGAAATTGAAGAACGATGATTTTTAATCATGAGGTTGTAAACGATATCGATAGTCTCGCAGTTTCGGAGGTAAATTACGAGTTCCAAACAAGTTGCTCGCTGAAAGTATGTCGAACGCTTCTGGGAATTTTATTATATTTATTTATCGTGTGCTAGACAAAATATATTGAAATTTTTATTGACATTGTAAAGAGACTCAACGATATGATATATAAAATTTATATACAAAAATGATATGAAAATTTCGTTCATAGCGAGACTAGACTGATTATGTTGATTATAAGTTACGTTCATGGTTATATTAAAGTTTGAAAGAAATCTGAAAATACGTATGCAAATTTCAAGACATTTATGACATTTATCTATTCTAATTTCGTACTAAGTACGTATCTATACAATAAATTTACATATTGGTTTACCGAAAACCAATATCTATTATATAATCGTACTAGTCGGTTCTCGTTAAAATGTTACTGAAATTTCAAAATATTGTACATCATATCACGTATCAGGGTCGCACGTTTCTTTTGGACAGGAAAGATTCAAAAAAAGATGTCCGACATTTCTCTCCGACAATTCTCTTTCAGTAAAAGAAATTATTAAATTGAAACAATCTGAAAAATGGACACGATTTTTCTTTCGCCTGTCGATTTTTCTCGTTCCTGCCGAGCGATTATCTTAATTGAGTGGAGGAGGATACACGAAAATTTGCATGCTCGATGCTAATTTGTGAAACTTGTCTAAGAAGAAAGCTTTTTAACTGATGGGATCCTTAATGAAACGCCATGCTTGCATTTAAATGCCAGCTGACACCTCTGAACGATGATGTCTGTATAAAAGCAGTTCCCTGCTGCGACTGTGAAAAGACTATATATCTGCGAATCAGCATAAAAATGACGTGACTCTAATAATGGCGAACTTCTAATGATAATTTTTAATCCTTTGAACAAGTGGAAAATATGAATTAAAATGAAACATATTAGAATTAAGAAACCTAACTGTAGCATAATTTTCTACTTACATAAAAAAGATATAACAAAATATTTTTTATATAATTATTCTCTTTCGTATCAAGAACATTTTCCAAAGCAAAAGAAATAATAATCGGTTTCGTGTAGTATAATTTGATGGTTTGAAAAAATTATAAATGGTTAAAAATTTTTACAAAAGTTATTTAAAATGGCCTCGCATCAATTCCACACATATAACAAAAATTTAGATGGCGTTGAATTCTTTAGCAATTTATCAACAATACCGAAATTAATTTTATCAATTTATGAAACCAATCAAAAATTGTTCTTTCTTGAGCTGAGGAAACTTTCTCAATGTAAAGAAATTGTAATTACCATAGTTGCTTATATTTCACGCAACATGAAGTTTTAATTTTACCAAAAATTATTTTTCCACGAACTGAAGAAATTTCTCGCTAGCAAGAGAAAGAAAACAAAATTGTAATGACCTAAATAAAATCTAACAACTGGAAGATTTCCATCAACGAAATATAAAATTTGTAAAATTTTGATACAAGACCAAAGGAATTATTCTTTCTCAAGTTAGAAACCGATTTTTTTCTCCCGAAAGCAGGAGATCCACAAATTTCGAAGGTTGCAAAGCCATAGGTAGCAAGTGTCATAAAGCGGGTAAACCAGCATGACACACATTCTGACCGCAAAACGAATTACCTCTATCTCGCGAATCACCCTTCTGCCTCGTCATTTCGCGTTCGACACGGGCCGAATCGATCCAGCTCATCCCCAAGTAGACTTCTCCATCAAAGAGAAGAAACGAGGCGACGAGGAAAAGACGAATCTCGCAAAAAGCGAGAGACAAAGTGAGCTGGATTCCTTCAACTTTAAAACTGAATGCTTCGGGAAGAAATGGGACGAGAAGGATGCCAAATGAATTCTTTCGCCGGCGATATTCGCTGCCACGATTTCTCGGCAATGAATCGATCGATCTCTGTCAAATTCTACGTACGTACGTAGAAAATCGTACGAAGAGGTGGAAAATGAATATTTCCATGATAGAGTGAAACTTGATCCCATTGGATATCCCCGTTGTTCTTCGAGATGTGGAAAGAATTTGTAAAAATGAATTGTTTAACACAGAAAAAAGAACCATGATATAATAATAATAGTTTCTTTTTTCTTTTTTTTTCTGGTAGGAACTCGTGGGTGTTTCAAAATCGTTTCCATTTTTTTTTTAATTTAATGATGTGTTTTCTTGCTTCATTAATTGATACAGTTCGATATTCTTTATTTGACAAAAAAAAGTGTGAACCTACGCGTGTCGAAAAACTATTACTTTAAAAGGCATTTTAACTTGAATTTTGTAAAATTTATCGAATTTATTTACGAAGGATAAAGGAAGACAGTATTCCTGCGTTTATACTATTTTTGTCTCTCATGCATGAATTTCGTAAAATTTATACTATCTTATAATACTGTATATTATACTACTTTATAAATCTTATAAAATACATTAAGTCAGATTAACACATCTCTTGATAGATGTATACACAGATTAATACTTTTTAGTTAGAAATTATTTATTTAGAAATTATTAAAATAATTGAGATATTGATGAACAGTTTTATTGAAATAATTAAAGTAAAATAAATCAATTAAAGTCATCAAAATTATTGTCAGAATTATTGAAATTATTGAAATTGTCGGAACGATTGAAAATTATTAAAATAACTATTAATGAAAATTACCAAAGTAATTTCTACACTGCCAAATGAACAAACACTGCAATAAAACCTCGATAAATGTGTACAAATTACTTGACTATTTCTCGAGAATTACCCGATACAATGCATATATTCTTCTGTTCTTCAGAATCACGTAAAAGCAACACTTCACAATGTGAATAGTTCTCTAAGCATGAGAGCTCGCCTTGCTATGATAACGATCCGAGGCAGCGAAGAGCGCGAATTGACGTAAGCCCGTGGAGAAACAGACGAAACTGGCTTGTTGGAACAGGCCTGGCCAATATCCACGCTGTGCCTCCTAAGTCATGCGTTTAAATTACCTTATTATGAGGTGGGGCCTGTCGTAATTACGGGGGTGGCCGAAAGGGACGCGCGCCGGGGGTTCAGCATCGTCGGTGAAAGAGGATGGCGGGTGAAGATTGGCGAATACGAGACAGAGTGATAGAGTAATTAACATCCAGTCAACTGCAGGCCGTGCCAATAATATCGTAACCATCTTGGTTGACTGACTTCTCGAAAACTGACACCTAACTTCCGCGTTACTGTCACCGGCCAGGAAGCTTTCGCCGGGAGAAGATAATCATACCGAGCAACCGGGAGCCAGTGAAAAATGAATATACGAACCCGACGAGATCTCTGGGTGATTAAGCAGAAAAACTATATTGGTGGAAATGTAATTACAGATTGAGGATGGAGATAGTGTGATATGTGTAGCAGCAGCAGTAGTAGTAATAGTATCCCATATCCGAACCTTCCACTATCTAATACTCTAATATTCAAATGTTCATTATGAACAGAATATTAATTGTTCCTTATTTTTCTATTAAACTATTTTTATATGTGTGCTTACGTGTTTGACGTGTTACTCATTATTGTAAAAAGGAATTTGTTAAAATATGTGATACTTGAACTCCATTTGTTTGAAGTAAATTTTCAGTCAATGCTTGGTTAAACGAATTCCTGCTGGTTGAATCCACTTATTTGAACCTGAGCTTGTATCATATTACAAAAGCGAAAAATCACTAGTGATAGTGAACGAAAATTCTACAGACATAATCTTTCACACAAACTGAAATAAATGCTTTGAAGCATTCGAGGAATGTACTTATCTATACTAAAAATATTGGATGCTTCAATATAGTCGAAAGAAATATATTCTTAAATATTAGGATAAATGATATATAATAATTTAATATCAGAAAAATGGATGTTCTTTTATTATCAAAGAACTGCATTAACCATGATTAGAATGTGAATTTCTGTGCATTACACATGACATACACGTAGGATAAGATAATGAACGTAAGAGATGTGCTTGGAACTCGAAATTTTGGAAATCATAAGGATTCATAAGGGACATCATAGATTATAGATCGAATAGATTAAAGACTACAGATCGTGAAATGTTCTCAGTTGTTTGAGAAATTATATATTTATTTATATTAATATTTTTATAAAGAATTATGAGATAAACTTTTTGAGAATAAATATTGATTAAATAACAATTGACAAGAGATTTTTTATCTTTGTTGGTACAGTTTTGTTCTCTCTTTATAAGATAAATTTTTTGAAAATCTAGCCAAATAACAATCGAAGGTCTAAATTCTCAAAGGTTTCAAAACAATTCTGGTTTTTTTATTAAAGTTACGAAACAAGCTTCGTGAAATTCTAGCTAAATATTCGTCGAAGAGAATATTTTCACTTTTAAATTGTAAGACAAATTATGTTGACAGTCTAGGCGAATACCAATTTCTTCTGTTTCTTTTTTTTTTTTAAATCTCAGACACTCTTCTAAAATCCTATGAGTCTCTCTCTCTCTCTCTCTTAAAACCTTGTTATATACGTTATCCTTAAGCATACCACGAAAGTGGCTCAGAGACATAAACTCCTAACCGATACGAATGGTTTTTGCGAGTCGTCAGTATGCTAATTCCGGCTGGTCGAGCATAATACGAAGCTACTTTTCTCCGGCGCCGTTTCTACTCGCTAATCCACCGCAAGTAGAAATGTCTGCACTGATACAGACGTAACTACGTAAGTATTGCATTGGCCAAAAACAAATTGCGTTTTTCTCTAATAGACATATATGCACATCATTGCGGAGGTTTACTCCTTTAAATAAATATATTAAGAGATTTAACAAGAAACTATAGCAATAACTATTTATTAACATTAATGTCTATAACGACCGTTCGTTTTGATTGATTATTAACAAATGAGAATGCAAAATATTTTCTAATTTCATCTTAAACTGCAAATTCATCGCGTGATCTTGAAACCTGATTGTTCAAGTTTGTTCTGGAAAAAGGGAAATGCACGGTCTCGTTGACAATTGTTTCGCGATTTTCAAAATGGAAAACCAAAAAGGATCATTATTCGTCTTATTTCTCCGAAAAGGGAAGAAATTCTATGCAAGTTTAAAAAGAAATTATCTGATGTGTATTTGTATGGGTAAAGAACTCTTAAAGCAATGTTAGAATTGACTTGTTAAATTTCACTGCTAACGAGAATGTCAAATCGTTCTTGGAAGTCTTTTTCGCCGAGAAGAGATAAGAACTTTTTAAGAACGCGGTATCACGAAGTTGTCTGAAAGATGGCGAAAGGCAATCGAACAAAGTGATCAATATTTTTGTTTCTCGTGAAAAATTCGCTTTTCATTTGCAAGCAAAGAAATTAGATCGTACGTTGCGAAACGAATAGAATAAATGAAAATTATGCACTGTGATGTAAAAACTGCTACAAAAATATTGCAAAGCAAAGTTACAGTGATTAAATAAATGTATACGTTGCATTTTGCGTACATAATGTATTTCCAGTTTCTGTTTCCCGTTACAATATTAATGAAAGAATCTTTTATACGTTTGATATTTTATTTATATTTATTATACGCGAACGAGTGCCGTGGTTTCCAAAGTAACCTTCAGTTACGAAATTTCGTTTGAATGCTAGTCTCTTTCGTACAACGACTATACCCGTTAAACCTATTACAGTTAACAGGTTGAACCGCCTATGGGTATCAACGGCGTACCGCAAGCAAATTTCCAAATTGCCCGCAGCCAGCAACAAGAAAAAGGGGTTAGAAACATTAAGCAAACAGCCGGTGAATATTTTCCAGCGATATTAGCAGGCAAACGAATGACAAGGAAACTAGAGGCACTATCTGGATCCACCTCGAGGCTTTTCGAGAGCAACAGACGGTCGCGGGAGGTGTAAAATCGTCGGTCGTACGAGAGGGAGTAAGAACAAGCCCATTCACGAGATCCAGTTCCGGTTCCCTCTCCCCTCTCTCTCTCTCTCTCTCTTTCTCTTTTCCCTTCTCTCGGCGACAAACAAAAGCTGGATGCACTTCTGCCAGATAACTGCCAGAGCCCGTTTCCGAGCCACTTTTCTTTCCTTCCCTTTCCTTTCTCATTCTCTCTTGCTCTCCGCGACCCACCCCTTGTCCTTCATTTTT